CCATTTGCCAAATTGTATTGAATTCGTTTACCGGAAAGTGCTCGAAACCGGATATCCCCTACTTTGCCACCCTTAGAGGTGGAATATTTTCTTCAAATTTAAATGGGACCAATACTGAGGTACCCTCTTTCCAATAAAGAAAGAAACATAAAAGTCGGTTCACAAATCGAGTAATTTATTTAGCGTAACATACACATAAAAAACAGTCTAATTCAGAAAGTTTTCCTTTTTTGAAGTCGATTAATAAAAACGAATGGTTACCTAATTCAATTAAATAACTCGATAAGTAGGTACCTAAAAAAATAATGCATTTTCAGTTTTCATACCCACTATGCCCTACACTTGTAGAGCAAGAATGATGCAACTAAACCCACGCGCAATTGGCTTAACGTCTAGTCAGTTATGCGAGAGCTGATGAGATAAATACGAGTATGTGTCATTTTAATCGTAGAACACGTAATAGAGTCAGTATTGTGCTTAAAATTAAAAGTGACGCTAAAATCTTCCGTAGTTAACGTTTGAATGCCGTAATTAGGTAACCGAGTGCCGAAATTAATGTAGCGGTGGGTTCGTTATCTGATAAGGTGCCAAGTCGGACTTGGTGCCGTATGATCACGGAGTTGCGATTGAAACGTAAATAGAGCAGACCAACAAAGCGGTCCTTTGATGACATACGAAAACTACTACGAAGGGACACCTATAGGAAAGATTGCGTGGGTGAAATGGAATAAACCGAATTTGTCACTTTTAGAGGTGGAATATCATCTTTCCAATTACAAATGAATCTCAGCCCAGAGTACTAAAAAAACCGACCTCAAAAGTTCGTGGAATTACATCTATTTGCCAAGTTTTATTGAAGTCGGTTACCGGAAAATGCGCGGAATCAATTAATTCTCTAATTGCTACCCTTAGAGGTAAAATATTTTATTCAAATTTAAATGGGACCACTACTGAGGTACCCTCTTTCCAACAAAAAAAAGAATCATCAAAATCGGTCCACAAACTTAGCCAGAGTTACCGCATAATATACGTACAAAAAATACTGACGAATTGAGAACCTCCTTTTTTGAAGCCGGTTAATTAGCTCACATTTGTCAGAATAATCGCGTACCTACCATATACACAAAAAAATAGAGTCGCTTAAATATAGGACAGAAGGCTGATCATGTTTGGGATTGTACTAACAAAGGCTAACAATGATGATCAGTTAAATAACTCTCTTCCTTTGGCATCACCACTGTCGAGTAAAAACCATTAACAATAACTTTCCTTTTTATAACAACAAAAGGCTATTTTTTTTCAGCCCGTGTGTTTATAATGACCAGCCAACGCCATGTTTTGATGAATGTTCCGAAGCTCGATCATAAATCATTTACTGTGTGCTTATTGTGGACTTTTTGTTTACGTAACTACAATTTGAGCCAAGAAATTTGTTTACTTGAAAAATGTAATGTTAGTTTTAGAATGTTTATTCTGTTATGCACAATTTTGTTACATTGCAACATATTCGTGTTGTCTAGCTCATGTGTAATGTGTATGTACACGTACCTCGAAAGAGTGGATTTATTTTTCTTTTATATTTTAAGATCCAAATATTTTTGTAGTTTCAATCGTGTACAATCAAGAGTATGGACAAACTTAACTTTGGACTTTGGACCATTTTCTTATCACAAGCGGAATGGAGTAATTTTTTTTACGACATCAATGCCGGGACGAACAAGTGAGCGCTTGGTAGTAACATAGCAATGCACTTGGTGGACACGCCTGTCCATAGCCGCAGTGCAGTGCCACTCAGAACTTTAAATCACCTCGCTTCATGAGCCATTGGTGATGAAGAGGTATCATCATACCTTGAACCTCTACAACTGCGTAGAGACGTCGCATCACTTAGCGCCTTTGGCGAGTGCTCTGAAGAACTGTTCACCCATATCTCGCCCTCCCCTTTCCTGCTCCGAAGCACGCGTGCTGGCCTCCGTAGTCACTGTTTTACAACTAACCGTATTCCAACGCGAACTAAAAGGTTTGGTGGTACCTTCCACTGTCGCACAGTTGAGAAGTGGAACTCCCTTCCAGGGCACGTATTCCTTCCGTCTTCCGATATGGGGTCTTTCAAACGAGGCGTGAAGAGGAATCTTGTAGGCATGCAGGGTGGAGGTGGCTAGGGCAGTGATTGTATCAACACTGCACTAGGTACCTTCACGTTTGGGTTCCATTTTCCATTTTACATCAGGTGTAATGGAGTCATCTGTCTGTCATGTATAATAAAAAAAATCATAAAGATCTAAGGGGCACTGCCACTGCGCCCATCACCCTGAGACATGGGTTAATAAGTCCCATGCGCCTGTAATTTCACCAGCGCCCTTCAAAACCCGAACGCAATAATGCACACACTTCTGCTTGGCGGCAGAAATAAGTAGCTGCCACTTGGCAGCAGTACTTCCCTGGATGAACTCTTTATTTAAATCCTAGGGGTCAAGCTTGACGTGCTGTTAATTGTACAAACGACAAACAGAGAACGTCCATTATTACATTTGAAATATTTTAAGGTATTGATTATTCAGCTTAGCCCATTGTACTTTTTACAACTAGGAAATTCTCAAGTTTTATTAGAGTTATTAGACTTTAAATTAATTTTTCACCTCAGCAGCTCGAACAAGGCTATTTTGCTGTGTGAAATCAGTGAGCAAAATCTTATTTTGCTCACTCCGTGAGAAAAAGTAGCTTTTTGCTTTTTAAGTGGAGACTTGTCATTTAATGCGAAGGGGTCTAATACAAATTCGACATATTTCAAAATCAGTCGCTCCGTCCCTTTCACTTCATTACAAGAAAAAGGAAAAAGAAAATTATGGTTTATTCGTACTTCGATATTTAAGCTACATAGTAGACCCCCACAAAATGGCTGAACGAGTGCACGTTCGGAAACTCGTCAATTCATCTAAAAGATAAATTATGTGAGAAATACAAATACGATTTTATACTATGATAATTTAGTTTTTACAATTTTCATTAAAAATAAAGCAAGTGTTGCAATAAAAATATGCTAAATTTATAACGTCAATTAAAGATAACAATATTTACAATGTGTGATTTCAATGAATACAAGCGAGAACGTTCCGGAACGCAATAAATAAAAGCGCGCTTTCTTTTTTTTTTAATTCAAAATTTCTTATTTGCTTGCGATAGGTACTTCTTTGATAGTTAATTGGATACCTACCTACGTAATAAAATAGAAAATATGAGCGATTCCAGTGAAGTTTTTATTACTTGTCCCTTTAGTATATATATATGTTCTCGCTGCTGAGGTGAAAAGTTGTATGTATCACGCGAGAGCAAAGTTATTTTGCAGCTCGTATTTTTGAGTCCCTCGCTTCGCTCAAGATTCTAATTCTGAATCACTCGCTACACTCGTGAATCAACTATAGAATCTTTCGCTTGCTCAGGACTCAAAAACAGCACTCGCACCAAAAAACGACTTTGCTCTCTTGTTGAACAAATAACTATTATCATACTTATAATTCATTCAAATCACTAACTTAATCTCAAATTTCGATGAGGTATAACATCTGTAGTATTAATTTGTAGCAATATTTTTTCACAAAGTCTTACATAAGTAGTATCTAATGACTGAAAGAACAAACTAGAGGTCAGCAAACACGCGAATTATAGGTGACTTCTACAATCGACCTTGATCAAAAACAAAATGAACTCTACACTTTGCTTTAGCAAACCAATGAGATGTATTAGTAGACTAATTTACTACTAATGTCATGAACTACATGTTCATTACAAATGGTTTATTTCCGATTCTAATCTGACATTGACACAAAACCGTCAATTTATATAATATGACTTCATTTTTCAGTAATATCACTAGCTAGTGACATAGAATGACATAAAACACTAAAAAATGTAAGTAATAATAACGAAGAAATAGTCTAATTAATAAGTGTATATTCATTTCAATAATTTATACATTTGTTCTAACTGACGCCATTCCACGCTCTATAAATATATCATAATTGTCAGTTTTAATTTCCAAATTTGATTAGTTATAGAAATGTTATTCAAATGACTTTTTTATTTAGCTTTTTATTTAACAACGTACGTACATATAAAACTTTCACTAAAACTTAATTATCCCATTAAGGAGTACCAAACATTCATAAGTTATTTGTCACATAAAATTTTAAACAATTTAAATTTGGAATAATAAGGATTAAATTCTTATAACGATAAATTAATAAAAATATAACACGATTCCATGAATTAATTAATACTGAAACACAATTAATTTTTTATTATTTTACATTGAAATTATCTAACAACGGCAGCACCATACTAGTTTTAACAAAGTAATAATATCTTTTACCTACATGATTTTACGTGTATTATTATATTCTGTGATGAATTAACCCTTAGGGTCTGCATAGATAGCGCGGTAACAATTTGTGTGCATTTATTTACTAATTGACAAAAATTCACTCTTGACTCTCTCAAATTAAATACAGCTTGTTATCGATATCTTTTAAAAAGTCCACTACACTTATCAGACTTATTATGTTAAGATAAAAATAAGTCGTGTGATTTTATTGTGATTGCCAGTTGTATTTGTGATTTTGTAATGTGCAGTATTATTTTTTATAATGAGATTTCGAAGGTACTTTTTTATTGTATTTGCATTGTTTTGTCATTAGTAAAATCATAATTTGGGACAGGTGCCTTATATTATGATTGATTGTCATGTGCCAATCAACAAGTTAGGTCATATTTCATACAACGTGCATAAATTAATCAATAATATTTGTTATTAAATTCAACAGGTTAAATCACCATTTAAGCACAGTTTTTAAATGCAATAAAATTATTATTAATAGAAATATACTCATAGTGAAATTAAATCACAAGCAAAATCAACTGAAGTGCAACTAAAACGAATCTCAGTGCATTTGTGATGGATAACAATAGAATAAATAATTTTAAAGTGTAATAATGGGTCGTAGGAACCTCAGTATGATGCGACTGGGAAGGTGCATCGCCTTCTTGGCTGCTGCAGCGTTTCTTCTGCCGTTCACCATACTGCTGATGGTAGCAGACCAGCAGTACAACCTGACTTATAATTCCAAGAGGGTGTTCTATCAAGAGGTAAGTGTTCATCTTTATTTTATTAATGCTTTGTTTTGTGACTTAACCTGAAAAAATGACCATTAATAATAGTAGTGATCTTTTGTAATAATACGTTACAGTTGTTACAGACATTATTATCGACTGAAAGCTGTTACGCTTACATAGTTTCAGTTTATAATGTCTAATTGATTCAAAAACAATTGAAATAAACGAGCTTATGTATTTATGAGCTGATAAGAAAGGAAGAAGCATAATCTGTATTATAAATAAAGACACAAAGCGGTGTGGTTTTTGACAACTCCACTTGTAAAGTGACGTGGTAATAATATTTATGACAATAGGTTGCAATTAGTGCAAAATTATATTGTGTATTTATTGTTGTCAAATTAGGTCTAGGTACTATAAAACACTTTAATCATTAACTACCTAAAAAACCTGTGAGTTGAAACGATTACAATGCTATTTGTAACGGTAAGTACGATGAAGGTTAAAAATAGATAACACTGGCGAATATCAACCAAAATATGTCGCAGATGGAGCGATTACAGGTTTTCATTCGTATTGTAGAATAATTTGCTCTGACATGCAAATTTCAACTATTTACGTTAACCCTTTCATGAACAGTAACAACGTTTATTGTAAAATTAAATATTAGAATGTATGATCCTTGGAACGAGGTACCCCGTTTCGCAATAAGGATCTAAAAAACCAACTATAGGTTTTACAGTGCCATTTCCAAGTGCTTTCTGTGTAATTACTGCCTACTGCTTTTCCATACAGAAGTATCAATAAAGTACTGACAAAATTCAATGATCTACATACATTGAACATTTCAATACCTCCATAGAACAACGCCAACTTCATTTTTGGACCTATCCGGTTCATTGGAGTTACCGATTTTAAATTGAATCAATATAAGCATTAAAGCAAGAAAAGTGCAAAGTCGAAGTCAAAGTCAAAGATTATTTGGGTGAATATCAACAAATGCATTTTATTGTAAGTTTTGGTGGCGCAATTTTTTTTTAAGATTTTCCAGTATCAGAGACTCATTTGCAATAAAATAAAACATTTCATTTATATATATGTGACAGGCACATAACCATTTTCTATAATTTCAGAGATATTGGCAATTCAAAATTTTTGTCGCCACCAAAATTTAGAAAAGCCACCAAAACGCTTACCAATTGCACCAGAATTGAATATTGCCACCAAATTTGGAATGTATGTAAAAACAAACAAAATTAAATTAATTTAATCAAGTGTTTTAATTTTTAAGTATAAAGAAACCACTATTAGGCACAAAACTATAATTATAATTTAATCAAGTGTTTTAATTTTTAAGTATAAAGAAATTATTATGTTAACGTAACATTTTACCATATTAAAATCTACCTTATTAAAAATGAGATCCGATCCCCGTAATATTAACAAGGTCCACATGTTATGAATTAAATGCTTCTAACAAAAACAACTTACATTTAAAACAAACAAAAAATATATCAGTCTTAGATGTCCTAAAGATATACATTCAAAAAAGTAACTTTAAATAATAACAACTATAAAAAAAAATAGAAACTGCTAAGCCAGCAGTTTCTATTAGTGAAACTGTCTAATAAATTACAATAATTAAATCAGTCGTAATTTATGATTAATAACATATTTAATGTTTCATCATTGTACTTAATACAAATCTGAGAAAATACCACGATAATATATGGATAGAAAACAATCATATAAACAATTCTAAAAACAACAATTTAGTAATTTAGTAACATTACTTATTGATTTCCTAACCTTAGCGGAAGTGTAATTTTTCATTTGATGAACTTACTTCAAACAAAATGAAATAAATGTTTGTAAACAACATAATATAATCATCGAATGCTCATTATATTTTATATTTTACGGTTTAGTAACCATTTTAAAATCAATTTCGTAATCATTTACCAACTTGGAGAATATTAAAATATGTCATAGTTATCATCATCATCATCACTCAGAGCAATGATTCCAGCATTAAAATTTGTATCTAAATATGTAACATCATTTTGATCTTCATCTTCGTGACGTAGAGAAGCATCTCTAGAGTTTTCAAACTTAGAAAATGTATCGGTGTTGATGTTTTCAAAGAATGAACTAGTAGGGACAACATTTTCAAAATCCGAGTTTGTACCACATTCCCTGATTACTGAATCTATATTTGACAGCCCTATAGAAGAAGTTTTATTTTGAGATACCGTTGTTGTTTTAGGACTTAATATAAATTTGTTTGCCACAGTTGAAACTTTCTTTTGGTGTAATGGGGAAATCATTTTATTGTAGTTTTTATTGGGAGTTGAAGAAGAACTACGATTTACAACGCTATCTCTAAGAATATTTTGTAAAGGTAAATTGTAGAAGCCCAAATGTTTCCCATGGGGACATGCAATGGGTTTATTCAGACATTGAGGCTTGATGCAAGATAAGGCACGGAGTGCTAATTTAGAGTAATTACTTTTTCTCCAAATAACCTGATGAACCTTCATGTTGCCAGGAAAAGGCTTCAAATCCTGAGGAATGAGCCAATCTTTTTCTACAATTTCGTAATCTTCTACACGTTTAATTTGAATGTTATTACTGGCAGCTTTTAATGCGCAAATAAACGAATCAATGTCAGTAATGTCGTTTCCAAATGACACCAATTGATCCGCAGTTCTTTTTAAAAATCCTCCAACTCCATCCGGGGCACCCTTGCCATGACCACACTCACAATAATGCCAAACCACACACGTTAAACTTGGACAATAGGAACTTAATTGTGACATGGTGTAGAAAATTTTTTTGTTTCTGTATTGAGCAGATGGCGAATCTGAAACTATGTGCAGCGTATTTATATTTGGATTTATGCTTTCAATTTCAGTCAGTATTGGAACCATATGAGCCCACACCGCAGAAGCGTCATGCCTTAGAGAGGTGCTAACGGTGCAAAACGGCTGTGGTACGATGCTTTGATTTTGATTGCTTCGATGGTATATCACCGCAGTGTGAAGTGTAAACTGTGGTCTGCTGGCCCCAAAATGTACTGACTGAATTTCTGACGCATACTTAGCTGCGTAATTTTCACTAAAATCTATATGAACTAAGCATTCTGTTTCTGTCAGATTTTTCTTAATTGCTGTAGTCGTATTATACTGATTTTTTATATTACCACAGTGTTTTAGAAAGGAATCCAGAGAATCTTCAAATATTTTTATGACCTGTAACGGTTTTTTAACATGTTTGACTTTTTCGACGGCATTAGTTGATTTTTCGATATTGTTTTTCACGTAAACCTTAACTGTTTTTTCCCATTGCCAGAATATCATGCTATTAGAGTTGTCAAACTCTTGGTACAATACATTTTTGCTTTTACAAAATGAACAGTTCCTTTGAAGACAGTCTACATTGTTTTTATCACAGCATAAAGTTTTTAGTATGGCTGTTGTTGTGTTTTCTCTAAAAATCTTATATTTCTTTAATGAACGAATCAGAAGTTCCATGTTATCATGCATTTTACACAGGCAAGTATTTCGTGTGTTTAAGTCAGGCTTCCTAATCCAGAATGGTCTCAATCGGCAAAATGTGGTATAACTAATAGGTGGATTACCTGAATTTAAATACCTGTGATGTAAATTGCGTAATGTATCGGTTTGGTATCTCTTTTGTTTTTTTAACTGGTTTTTAGTGATGAAATCATTTTTTCCTGGACATACCTGGCTGTTTTCATCGTTTTCGTAAAAATCAATTACAATTCTTCGTACTTGTTTTGTTATAGGACTATTACCACCAATTTTGCCACGTATTTTCTGCTGCACTATTTTAGTAATTGGATTAGGTGCTTTAGCTTTTATCAATTTCACAACCCTTTCTAGTCTTTCAATTCTTTTCTTATAATTATTCTTCTCATTTCTTAGCTCTAGTACTCTTTTCTGTAACATGATTATTTGCCTTGACTTGTTTCGTTGGTATCTTCTATATTTATTTTGAATATTACGATATACACATGACGAGATCGATGAATCCGAAGTTGGACTGTTAGGAGCGACCGTAGAGTAATTGGAATGTATGCTGCTAACACAAGGCGATGGTAAAGGGGACGGTGGAGGTCTCTGAAGAGGGCTACTAGTATGTAAATTATTGGAAGAAATTGGTATTAGATTGTTAGTCAAATCACCATTTGATTCGATGCTGTCACGTTGAGACCGCAGAAAGACCCGATGGGAGCGTCTAGTATGACTGTCTGTGCTGCAATCTCGACAATTTCTTGGACGCAAGGCAATGGCGTCCGAGTTGCTTAAAAGTGGGTATCTACTACTACACCGTGACATTCTCGTACTATTAGAATGTTGCGCTGTTGAATATGTGTCGCCTCTATCGTTTTGCGGGAACTCTGTAATGGACTCGCTCCCACGAAGATTTGCCACCGTTGCTTCCATTCTTGCAGCTTTCTTTCCAGCGTAATATGCTTTATTGTACATTTTTTTGTTTCTTTGAACCAGTCTACGTTCACGTATTGGCATTTCATATAAAGGTAGAATCTTACCTTCTGCCTTTTTGCTATGATACCTTTCTCTTTCTTTTTTCCTTAACTCTTCCAATAGTACCGGATCATTTTTTATTCTTTCTTTGCGTTTCCTTTCCGCAATTCTTTTCTTCAACAGTCTTTCTTCTCGAGTTTGTTTCTTCGTGTTTGGCATCCTGAACGAAATTATTTAAATTATATTACTATTAATTTAAGTAAAATACGAATCTAAAATATTTTTAGGGTACAAGATCAATTATTTAATGTTACATTATCTGAAAAATTATGAACACCGTCTTTCAAAAGTTTATTCGGAAAAATAAATCATAATGCTTTAAAACAATATTCGAAACTGTATATTATATTTAGAAATATCATAACAATTTCAAATTTGGTGGCGTCTTTAAGTTTAGGTGGTTACATAAACGCCACCAAAACCACCAAATTAGAGCCACGTAAAATGAAATCATAGAAAAAAAATTACAGTAAAAATAAAACAAAAGCCAAAAAATCGAACCGAGATCATTAAATTATGATAAAGTAATGCCAAAATTTGCCTCGTTAATTTGGTTCGAAATACGACCTTAGAATAAAACAAAAATTGAGACCTTATGAAGCCAGAGAAACTTAATATTTTTTGTCGCATGTGCCACCAAAGAGCATATACGTACGTTTTTGGCGGGAAATGGAGCACAGTGCCAACGTCTTTCGCTGCCAGGCGCTAACGCACGACTGAGGCTTGCGCGGGGCGAGAACGTAACGGTTTTTTGTCAAACTACTTACCAGTTGCAACCGGCTGAACATTTGCCACCAAATCTACACTTTTCGCGTGGACAAAGTTTGATCAAGTACCCAATCTCCCACAAACTGGTAATTACAATACTATCAGTGATATTAGTTAGTGCCTCTAATAGCGAATACCATACGTTGAATTGTTTTTCATAAAAGCGTACACATTTTGCTAGAACGACTATTTTATACAATGAAACAGAATGTGGACACACCAGCAAAATTTAAAATGGGGACATAAACATTTTTTATTTATTATTATTGTATAATAAATATTCTGAAATTCTTGCCCTAAACTCATTTTACGTCTAATTAAACTATAAAAAATAAGTCATTAGTATTTCTTCACTTTACACCAGGATTCTCAGCCCGGACACGCAAAATTTACGCATGAGATATTCACCCATTTATTCCATAGGTAAACGTCACAGTTAAGCTACTGCTCGTTCACTACGCTGACCTCCCTGAGAAGAACGAGCAAGAAACTCTAGGGATTGCTCTTTTCAAATAAACTTAAAAGCTATGGAATACACTTTGAATTTGCAGATTTTTTGATGCGGTACTATTTAAATACTGTCCATGAAAGGGTTAAAAAATTGTCAATACCTAACCTATTGCTATACAGGCGCCGGTCATTTTAACAAAAACGTTCGACGTAGATAAAAATATTCACCGATTAGATAGCGATAAATCTATCTTTACTTAACTGCAAAAAGTGACTACATATGCAAAGTTACACTAGTATAGTGTAGGTAGAATAGGGAATACTGTTGTAATCATCAGAAAGCGATACAGTACCAGGCACCTTATCTGTAATATTGCAAAAAAAGAAATTACGCTTCAAAGTTGAAATAGTCACAAGCGACACCTAGCGTAGATTCATTGACTCTGAACCTCACTTTAGCAGTCCATACCATTTAAATGGTGTTTTTTGTCTGGATACTTTTGTTACATTTCACAAAGCGCACTCTGGTGGTTGTAATAATATTAGCATATGAAAGTATACACTATGTTTGTAAAATAAATAAGTAGACCAGACTTGTGAAAATGTATTAGACAGTATCTCTCAGTTGTGAAAGATAATCGACGATGTATTTATTATTCACAAAATTGTGGTCGTCTTTACGGCCGGTTTCTATATTTGATCCTGAATCTAAGATTGTTTTCCATCCAGATTTTATTCGATCCATCGATCGCTGCCGGATCTGTATTTCAATATGTCTATCTTGGCGCCTTTAAAAATAAGGATCGGTCGTAAATTTACTCCCTCTCTGACGTTTAATTCCACGCAATCGGAGTAAAAGTTCATTACATGAATTAATGAATAAAATGGTGGTTATGCTTCTAAGATTAATTTATTTATACATGTGATTTTATATGTGCTTTTGACAAAAACATAAATTAATTGCAAACTTTCAAGTATAAAATATTTAAACCGTAAGTACGTTTAAATATTTTAAACGTGACCATAAACGTTCCGTTCTGTTTCGAGGAACAGAACGGAACATTTATTGTCAAACGAGAGGGACGGCCATATAGGATGGAAAAAAATAAAGGGACGGCGCGCGGCGGCGGCGAAATGTTAATGTCAATTTATGTTTTGTTGATGTTTGTTTGTATTCGTGACGTGATAAAATAATCTGAATTATAAAAATACTGTTTTGATTTGATTTTGATAAATGGCATTATTTCATTTAAAACAAATTCAACTGATGTTTTGTTCAGTCTAAATTTGAATGTAAATATAGCGTCAGTTAAATTTGCCATGAAGTTTATACGCCTAAACGTTCTTGAGGACACAAGATACTCTTGGTCGCTGTCGCTATTATCCCAGTCCAATAAGTGAGCAAATTGTTCAAGATCACAGTCGCTATCACTTAAAAATAACTTCCATTTTCACACGATTACACAGTACAATCGGTCAAAATTGGAGGATCGCTACTATAGATCGAACACGATCAAAATCCGATTTGTCAAACCTATGGATAGGATATTGAAAGCGCACAACTGTCACTACCATACAAATGTCAATCTAAAAACGCCATACGTCCTCCCACAGATGGATTGAAACAAAAGACCGGAACGACGATCCATCGATCGGTTATTGAAATAGTAAAAATAGGATTTGGATTGATTATTCAAGCTCAGATAGCAAATTATGGATTGAGAATAAATATAGAAAGCGTCCGTTAGAGTGGTTACATACGGCTACTTCTAGCAGCGCATCTGGAACCATTCGGCCGCGATACAGTCGTCTACCTTTCAGTCAGTCAATAAACTGCCTCTGTGGTCGAACTGTTACCATACTGGTTTGCCACGCAGAGGTCCCGGGTTCGATTCCCGGGACGGGAGAAATATTTGTATGGGCTACCTTTATATCTCGAAAGAATTTCGATGTGATTTGTAGTTATCTATGTGTGTTTTGCCTAGTAAAAGAAATGCGCGACTTAAGCAACGTAATCGCGATGCAAACGCGACTCACTTTTCCAATGATTCAACATAAGCGACAACATCGGTGCAGTCACGCGTTTGCGTCTATGTAATCGTGCGTTTGTTTACATCACTGCTAAAGTCACCGTATGGAACCGCTCTTAGTGTGTAACATATGCCCACGCACTGGTATCACGCTAACCAATCTAATCTAAAGTACAGGGGAAATACGCAATTTTTGGGTGCAGAATTCGGTGGTTTTATTATCCTTCAAAATTTATTTTGTTATGTACACAACGAACTGTATGTGTTGTGTCCAACGTAACATATTTTCATATCATAAGTTTTATACGACAAAATACATAATATGGGTGTAAATTGAGGGGTATCTTCTTTTGTTTCCAGAGTGACTTCTATAAAATAAACGGGACATATTATGCGCCCGCTTTCACGATAACAACACCCACTTTGTTAAAACAGGTAACTTGGTTATTAAATGTCATAAGACACCTTACCCAAATGACAGCAACCGCAAGATTAGTGACAATATTGTGATGTCCCATTTTGTGGGTAACGCCACATGTAGCGAACTTTATCGGGCGACCTTATCCGAAATAGAAGTAGAGTTTGTATTTGATAATATTGTGGCCATTTCCTTTGGAAATTAAGTTATCTTCTCTCAACAACTCTACTATAGCCGCTTGCTAGGAAACTGTAAGCCGCGACACGTGCCGTTATGACATAAAATGAATAGGACAAATTTATTCCACTAATCTTGATGCACCCGTGCTTTAAATTTGTTTACATTGGGACAGTTGAATGAATAGTAAAAATACTCGCGTATGAAAACTGATATTTGTTTGTTATAAGCTTGTTGTATCCCACTGATAGGCAAAGTTTTTTTCATTGATTTTTCCATTGGTTTTGGACTGCATCTCTAATATATAGACTCATAGAAATGTTTCTTGCTATTATATAGGTACGTATATCGTCAAGCTGTTTGCCGATATATAATAATAATAAAATGAAAGTAGTTAACGTGTAATGAAATTGGATTACGCAACACATTAACTGTGAATATATACAATTAGTTTAACAATTTTCTTTTGGTTTATTTGCTAAAACAATAAAGATTTAAATTTTATTTTTAAAACTTTTTTGTAATAAATACATCGTGAGTACTCTAAATAAAGATGCAGCCTTGAACAAAATTGTCACGAGACTTTTTATTTTGGTTTTTATTTTTAACCGCTCTATATTATTCAATCTCCTGTCTCCGTGTAAACAAAGCATTACTAACCCACTAAACACGCGGCAAAAGGTCTAAAGACGACTGCACTGCGTTCACCCTTCGCCGCTCGGACTTGGCGAGGTTTGTTGTTTGTTAATGGTTGGTTTTAAGGCACATTTCCATTAATTTAGTAGCTTTATCTAACTTTAGTTCAGTGACAAGGCATTATATTCAATCACAAGAATCCACGGAATATAGTGACCCACGACTCATGTTCCGACAAACATTTTATAGCATGTTAGGATCTTCAGAATGGGAACATTATTACTATCAAGAATGTAATGCCGTTCCTGTAAAATATTAGATCTAGCTACTATATTTATGTAAATTAGCCTTTAAGTACTATTGTCATTTTCAGGTTAGAATTGACAGCTGTCATTTATTTTATAAAGCATCTGACAAAAAACACAAATGTGATTCATAAGCTATCTTTAATAAAAATAAATATTGCCATGAATATAGCGACATCTCTAGTCGTCTTCTGGTACCATGTGGTCTACTACCGTTCTCTGTCCGATAACGGTCCCAAACAATTACTGTCAAATAAGTAATACTTCGACCAAATCAAAAAAACAATGTCAAGATTGAAGCTTCATTCGCATTTTGCGTCTTTTGATTTGGTCTAATGTTTCTTTTTTGGCAGTAATTGTTTCGAACGGAGAACGGGAGATCCCCCTGACTGAGTGAAGAACCTTTCATGAGTTCTCACAGATGGCGCTAAAAGTTGTTTAAACCCAACATAAAAATCCGTAACAAGAACATAGACAAATTCGTAAGATCTGCTAGCTCAATCTGTAGCTGGGTTGGTAAGAGCGGTAGCCAGGTTGAGACGACACACGCAGGCTCTGGTTCAATTGGATCGAAGGAATTTGTCTTTGTAGCTAATTAAGTTTTTATTGAATGTCAGGATGTTTCATCACCATGATTGTTTTGAAATACTTTCATAGATTTCTGACAGATGGCGCTACGGCAAAACCAAAAAACCAAAAACAAAGATCCGACAACTAGGACATAGATAAATTCGTTAGGTCCGCCGGTTCATTCCGTGTCTTGTTTGACATAGCGTCTGGCTCGGTTTGCTGGGAGATGTCGGTTCGAATCCGGCCGGATCGAATGAATTTTTCTAAGACTCAATTTATATTGCGGCAGAGAGGAATATGAAGTGAATTTTCGTATTCGCATTCTCAAGCATGCACGAGAATTCCGCGGAGTATTTTGTCTCGTATTTAGTTTGTATGTTACACAATTGACCATAAAGTTCATTATGTTATGTACAATATCGTTACAAAAATTCGCTTCTATTCCGTTCCGCCGCAATGTAAATTGAGCCTTATTGTTCAATCTTTGCATTAATAATTATTTTTCTCTTTATGTTTGTTCGATCTGTGTATGAATAATAATAACGAAGTAGTGGAGTAGGTATTTTCACAATAGATGACTATCATTGTGGTAGAAACAACTTGATATTCAATAGAAAATAAATATAACTCTTAAGTTTTAATAAATAAGCAATAAATACTTTATAATTTCAATGACAGGTGTCAAATCTGACATGAAAGCGAGAATTGTAAAGCACCTAGTAGACGATGTTAATGTGACAACGCACGCCAGTAGCACCTCTGTTGTGACAGTTAAATAAATGTCTCTACAGACGAATTAAGGTCAATGTTAAGTGTTTGTGTTTGTATCGTGTCTTTATTGGAATGGGTGATGTGTTGAATGTTTATTTGTAAGTTTCGTTTAAGTTTACAAAAATGTCTATTGCAAAATTGTCTATTTCTTGAATGTTTTATTTGTACAGGTAATGTAATGTATTCAATAGCTATGAACATATAGCTTTGTTTAAGTATGCTATAGAAGAAGGAGATTATGCAGACGTGACTTAAGTTTACTTGAAGATACAAATTATCAGAAGAGTTTTCCGTGGTTTGCGTCAGAAACGGCGTACGTCACACACAGACAACACTTGTGGACCCAACAGACACTTGTGGACCCTGCAATAAAATTTATTGACTTTGATCATTTAAAAAGTAGCCAGGAAGTGGTGATAGGTCGATTCCTTTTCATAATTTAACATAAGACCCTGTGACTTGTCTATCACATCTCAGCCTCCTGATACCCAGTAATCTACAATGGTAAAAGCGCTAAACGCCCAATGTACTCTTAAAGACGTTAAAGACGAAACCGACTTCATGCAGACGAGGTCTTGGCAGCATGAAGTTGATTACGACTTTACGCAACAACTAGAAACATGCAGTCAATATGTTATATATATAGGCCTAAAGATTACGGCCCATAAACTGACTCGGTTAATGGATATTTGCATACAAAAACCTTTAATTAACATAAATCAAATTTAATTATGATATCATAAACCACTTTTTATTTTATGTAAAAAAATATCGAAAATCCACAAGGTTGACATGTAACAGGGCGATAAGGATTTAAGATTAGACATTTTTTAATTGTTTTAAAGCCCTAATTAAGTTATTGTCAGAGTTTTTGTCAAAATAAATAACATAACACTCGCGCGCGCGAACTCTGCGCGGTTAGTTGTAGTAGGAATAAAACCGAAATCGCTCTCTGAGTAATGGACAATAAACAAACACGCAAATATTGTTCATTATCACATAAATATTTTGCATATAAATACATTTTTGTTATTCCATAATGACCAGTACCCACAGTTAAGCGACACATACCTTTGTAAAGTATACATATGTTTTTTAATAATTAGCCCTATGTCATGCCCTATTTCTGTACGCCGTGTGTATTGTTTTTACGTTTTGGTGGATCACAATCTTTGACTGCGATATTTTCAATAAAATATGCAATTGGCGTTCATGTCATCTTAGGAAGGATCTGGATCTGAATCACTTCCCATTATGTGTTTACACCTTCAGAGGTTAGATGATATAGCATACACATCTCTCGCTGCAGCGACAAACCAATTAAATGTACACGCAACGGTCAAAAGACCTCAATATTCTCCAGCTCACTATTGCAGTAAGTAGCGTGTGTTTTTCACAATTCACAATTTTTATTTATTGATGTCGCCTCAGTCACTCTACATCAGTCATCGGCACGCTAAATCTATATACATTATTTATAATAATAGATTATCGTTCTATATCTACGAAATACAACAACTTAAAAAACAAAACAAAAGACATTAACAGTCTTGGAATACATATATTTGCCATGTTTTATTGAAACCGGTTTCATCCCCTAGTTTGCCACCCTTAGAGGTGGAATACTTTCTTCAAATTTAAATAGTACCAATACTGAGGTATCCTCTTTCCAACAGAAAAATAATCGTCAAAATCGGTTCACAATGCCGTAATAAATAGAATAATCGCATAACATAGTCAAATAATCGTTTATTCCATAGGTAAATTTTTTACACTTGAAAACATCATTTTTTAAGCTAATGCTCGTTCACTACGCTGACCACCCTCAGAAGAAGGAGCGATTTCTCTTTTCAAATAAACTTAAATGCTATAAAATAATTTTGAATCATTTTTGTGTGGAATCTAGACTCACGTTGTTTTTCCATTAATCTTTATCTAACACGTAGTCATCGAGTATAACCAGAAATAGAGACGAAATAAGGGCCATATATTCCTGGTAACACATTAGCGATACAGCTCTTATCGATATGAACACTCGTTTGCACTGAAATATAGACAGGCCAACTACTGACCTGTGTGTACGTCTCCGTATATTCCAAAAAATATTCTGTGTTTATTGTAATAAAGATAATATCTCTAACAATGCCGTGCTGTTCTATTCTGTGGTGTTGGAAAAACAGCAAAACATCTAATTACAAAACAACCGGAATCACATTTCATCGGTAATTAAATATTAAATATGTAATTTTGCAATTTTCGTCTATTATAGCAAAGCTCAAGTTAACTGGTCGATTTGAAGTGAAACAGTTGACGACACCCATTGACACCCCTGAGTTCGAAACAATTGACGGATGCATCAATTGTTTCGAACTTAGGCTAGCGAATCGGAGCGCAGTTGTCGCAGTATTGATATGGCAGAATAGTTTTCAAACAAATTAAATGACATTTCGTCTCTATTTCTGGTTATATACTCGATGCGTGTAATTTACAATTTTGTAATATGATTTATCAATTAAAGTACACAAAAAATCAGTCATGCACAAAAACAGTCAAATTGA